TTGGGGGGGGGGGGGATGAGGAAATTGCACAAAAAACAACTAATTGTAGAGATAATAGAAGAGGGAGAAGATAGGATCCCAAATTGCATGTTTATTTCCAGAGGTAGAAGAACATAAAACATGATAAAGTGAAAGAGACAAGAACTTCTTATGGTCCAGCTAAATACTGGAAACTAAAAAAAAAGAAGGAAAAGAATGGTCTTATCATCTTGTATCAAGAATCTGAAATGACGTTCTTAAAAAGCTACCACTAAACAGTTAACAATGCAGAAATTTTACTATAACTTCAAGATTCATAGAAAACAGAAACTTACAAAGAGTGAGCTCAAGATTTCTTCAGCTGAAAAACAAAAGAACCCCACAATTCTGAGCTAACATTGATAACTTACAGGACTAAAAATTCCAGCTTTTAAGCCTGAGGGAGCAGTCACAAGGAAAACAGCAGAGTTTGGTATCATTTCTGTTATCCAAATATAAGTTGACAGAAAATGCCAAAGGCATGGACTTTACACTTGTTATATGTCTGCAAAAATAGTTAAAAAGCTCTGCCACTATAACTGGGTAAAGGAAAAAAAATCAAGAAATCTGTTCCCTGGTTTTCCGTGAAAAAAACTGACCCCATAAAAGCCCAACTTTTGCTACCCCTTTTGCGCACCCTACTTTTTCTTTTTCCTTTATTTATTTTTTCTTTCGTTATGGCCACTGAAATAGAGGAAGCAAAAAAGCTAGATTCCTAGGGAAACTTGTCAGAATTAATATTTAATATTATTAAGAAAATTAAGATAAAATAAAATAAAATAAAAGTACATCTCTATCTAGCTTGCAGGCCCACGAAATATTGTATCTTGCCAGGGTGTCTTGGTTGTACATACATGTATATTCCACTTTTGCAATTTTTATCTTTCGTAATATCTTTTCCTTGACTCTTTTAAATTTACACTTTAAGTCTCTAAAATATGTTCTCTAACACCTATAAAAGAATAATCGGAGGTTCGAGTTCGAGGCTTGAAAATAAAGAAAATCCTGATATAAACGTTTTTTTTTAGTGGACGTCATGTGCAGAGGCGGACCTATGATATATCGAGAGGGGTCAGGGGCATCCGTAAAGTTCGGCAAAATTTTTATGTATATATGAAAATATTTTTAAAAAATAGTAATATATTAGTAGTATTTACTCTATATACAAAGTAGATTTTGATTCAAATCATGGGTCCGCCTCTGATTACGTAATATAAATTCAAATTTAGTCGAATTAGTAAATTTCAAACATATAAGCATAACAGAAAACAAAGAACACTAGAAAAACATTTTCCTTAACTTCGATTAATCAAGTAGGTATGCTTTGGAAGACTGACTTTTATGTCGCCCGCTCTAATAAATCTAGGTTGTTTGTTACTTCTGCTAATATATGCACCACATAAAGCTTACAGAAATTAAGGTAGACCACAATATCAGTGTCGGTTTGTTTCGTAGATTGCTTATAAGTTATAATTGCAGGCAAAAAGTCCAAAGAGTTGGCCCTGGCAAATATATTCTCTATAAATGAGTATAACTTGTACATAATAGCAATGATTTTTGCAGAATAAAAAAAACAAAATTCATCAGAGCCATATTGAAGAGTGACAATGATTTGAAGCAATAGTATGTGAACATAAAAAGAGAACGATAATTTTATTAAGTTCACTATATGTGCATGTACCAGTGACTGGTCCAATTGATGTTGTATCTCTGAGGGGCATTAAAGATACCAAAGTAATGCAAATTAAACCTATTGCTTTCAGTTCATCATCAAAATTCATTATGAAGCCACCCGAGAAACCAGGTCCTAATGGGTCCAACTCCCCACACCCAATTAAGACCCCTAAGGACCAGATATGTTGCACGAACTTTCCAAAAATACTGCGAATCAACAGCATATGATGATATTTTTAAAGAATCTACAAGAAAATTCAAAACAATACTAAAATATGGGAGTCAAATTCTCACTACTAAAAAAATGCATTTTCCGACCGAAAAACCCTAATGCAAAATCAACCGATGTTTTGAATATAAAATTTTCACATTTTTTTTTAACGAAAAATATTTATTTGGCCGATTCAGTCGGTAATGTGTATCGAGAAGTTTATTTTTCAAGAAACCGATCAACTTCGGTCGATTTTTCATTTAAAATAAACTAAAATTAATTCAGAAAAATGACTGATTCCAGTCGGTTAATTTTTTGTGCAAAAATGCGATTAAAGAGTATTAAAAAAATTCTTAAACCAACAAGCTCCAATAGTATAGTGGTAGAATAGTATCCTGCCACATTATAGACTTCGGTTTCATTCCTTGATGGTGCAATTTGTAATTGAGTATTCCTATTTCGATCGAGTTCTTATTTGTTGAGTTTGAAATTCAATTGACCGACCGAAATCGGTCGACCAGTATTTTTTCAACGATCCAATTCGGTCGGTTTTTGGTCAGTAATCGTCCAAAATCGACAATGTTAGGTCGATTGTTTAGCCGGAAAAGAGCTATTTTTTAGTAGACTCGTGACCTTCAATAGTTTTTGAACTGGCTTTGCTACCACAATAGAGACTTTTCTTGTATTAATCTGATTCAAAAGCCACTATATGCTCAATTTAATTTTCTAACAAAAGAAGATTCAATAGAAAGCCCTTTGGCCAATGTTGCTCCATCACTCGGAGTAGTGGGTTTTCACTTGTGCTAACTTGGCAGAGACCAGTAAAGTGTAAAGAAGGAAAATTGTTGAAGAAAAGCTGTGCAGATCTTGTTAATTATTGGGAAATGCAGAGTTGGAAGAAAGAAAAGCCAATAACCGTACACTTTATATTTGTTTTTTCTAATCCATAATCATGGTTTTGCCCCCTTGGAACGTGGTCTTTTGCTACATTATATTAATGCTGGACTTGCCATCTAATTAACCAAGTAATAATATTTGGACTACAACTTTTTAAGTATGCCAACCAAGTACGTAATATAAATTATATTATTAACTTTTTGTATACAGTATAAAATTATTATTAAACCTATAACCATTCATCAGTAATAAGTCTAACAACATTATATTTAATTAGTCATTAGAAAGAGAAATAAAACTTGTATACAGTATATTGATTGCTTAAGTTTGGTCAGGGCGAAGCTAAAAAGCAACTAACGAGTTCCGCCTACTCTGGTAAGATTGTTCTAAACCGTGTATTTGTATTATGAAATTCACTAAATATGCATTAATTTTAAATTTGAAACTCAGTTACAGGCATTTGAAGTCGCTGTAATAGAATTCTGAATCATAAAGTTCAAATTAATTCACCTCTGAATTTGGTATGTTGGAAATCTACTAGAATAATTGAAAATCAGATTTTGAACTTATTTTTGAGAGGGACATGCGCTGCTATAAATGTTGCAACTTGCAAGGTATCTAAACTAATATATATCTGCATTTCACTGCACCAACTTATACGAGATTGGAATAAAAAATTACTATAAAATTATATGTAGAACAAACTAAATTGCCCATAAACCTAAAACCCTGTTGGAAGGAGTGGAAAGAGTCCGACAACAATATGTGCAAAGGTCTAGGGATGTTGGAGGTTGAGGAAAGCAAGGGGATGGGTGTGCAACTTTAAAGGAGAGATGGACAAGAGGTATGGGGTGACAGATGAAGTTGAAAATAATATCTCTCTTTTTTTGCTACGGCAAGAGCATATACCATTCAAGATTTTAATCACCATATGACAGAGATGGAACAAATAAGTGAAAAAGTGAAGGATTACTTATTTAATATTGGGTATCACATGTGGTGTAGAGCGCATGCAAAAGTCAATAGAACAGTGACAATGACTTCCAATATTGCAGAGTTATTAAATTCAGCAACTAAAGATGCGAGGTGTTGATATCCAATTTTACCCTCATATTTTTGCAAATAAGCGCATATGCTTTCAAAATATTAACTTGTATCATTATTTAATTTACAAGATTTATGCAAGCATCTTCTATAATTTTCCATAATTCTTAGAGCTTTTAAATTAATTTTTTTTTGTATTTAAATTGCTTGAATAATTATTAATTATTCCTTCAAATTATTTTGTGATGACTCAATTACCTAAATCCTTATTTTTGCATCTATAATATTTTATTCAAGTATTTTACTCTATTTTTTATAATTACATTAATATTTTCAGGCTATTTGCACAATCTCGCAATAATAGCCTATATTTTACAATTGTATTGCATTTGTCATTTTATTGAGCGTCAAAATAATATCTTATATTTTTATAATATTATACTATTGTTTTAAGGTATTGATTTGCATAAAAATATTTTTATAATTTATTTAATTATTTTATTAAAATATTTTTTCCCTTAATTTCTTATTTAAAGGCTGGCCCAAATTTTGAGCCAATTTTCAGACCAAACAAGCCCCAAATCTCTGGCCCGACCCCCCAAAGCCCAATCCAAACGACTCCTGAAATTAACCCGGTCGCGACCCGCTTAATAACCCGCCCCGCTGCCCCGTTCAATCTTGGCCGTTGATCTTAAATGATCAACGACACATAATTAACCTACCCTTTCCTTATATCCCCAATACCCCAAACCCTAGAGACAAATCCCCACCCCCACCGCCTCTGTATCCTCACATGCTCTCATCTCTCAAACCTAAACCCTAGCCGTCCTCACTCAAATCTCAGTCCTAATCCGACATTACATGGAAACCATCCATGATTCCTTTCCTTTCTTGCATGCGCGGAGTTACTTACCATCTTTTGAACGCTACAAGTACTGGTTACTTGATTATTTATGGAAGCTGAGTCGTTGTGTTCGTTTGATTCCGATTCTGTATCATTTTCATGTTTCTGACCTGATACATTAACTATCAGACTCCTTGGCTTCGATTCAGCGAGATTTTGGCCATTTTGCGTTCCTTGTCTAAACTAGGGCTTACCCGTTTTCTATCCTAAATTGATCTGAATCGATTTTGCATGCTTTCTTTCCTTATTTTTAGGTTTTATTTACTTTTTTTCCTTATTTATTCGTCTAATTTTGCTACTATATAAATCCTTCCCCATTCCTCTTTGAAAGAGAAAGAGATCGATAATTTCACTAAAAAATTGAAGCTTTGCTCTATTAATTCCTTCATTATCTTGTTCTGTGTTTTGTGTTGCCGGCTGAAAGCCAAGGCCACTGAGAGTTTGCTGTTCGAACTTTCTCTTGGTGCGAGTATTGCCCGGGGTTCTTTCAAAGCTCTTGAGAACTTTGACGCATCGAGGTTTCTGGGTTTTTGTGGATCTTTTGTTCTTTATTGTTGTCCGTTTAACTGGTAAGCCACTTAACTTTTGCAATTTCATCCCTATGTGTCTTTGATTTACATGTGTTCTCACCTCTGGAATCCATGGCTTAATATGTTTTCTGGATTCCTTTTGTGCACGACTCTGTTAATTCTACTTTATTCTAAGTCTCTTTAGCATTTGACTTCCTCCTAATGCTGCTAGTCCTGAGATTGCCTAAGTTTAACTTGGATAATCTGACCCTCTTAAGTTTCGTTTAGCCAGTATAGTAGTGCCTGAATGTTCCCTAAAACATGCTTATTTGCTTTGTCCTTAATCTTTATAATGAATGCTTCACACTTGTGCTAGAACTTCCTGTGTTAGTTATGACATGTTCCCCTGCTA